TATATATATATATATATATGGATGAATGTGTTTGCTTATCATATAGTGATTTTTCAGGGCCAAAGTAAAAGAACAAAAGAAATTGCAATATAGTTATTGTTTTAATGAGTTTTGGTTAATATAATTTGTATAATAATTCAAGTAAGGTGTTAAAACATTTTGTAAATTTGAGAATTATGTCTGGTGTGTTGATTTTGTTTCCGAATCAGTTGTTTGCTATTTGGTTTTTTCAATTTTCATGAATTGGGTTTTGCTTGTAATGAACAGGAAGATAAACTTTGAGGCTGATTTTCGAAGCCGTTTCGCATAATCAACCAAACAGATTCTTGTGATTTTCTCTCGACCTGTTTTAGTTTGTTGTAGGACAGAATGGAATCGAGGTTCTGGAACCAGGTTTGTACTTCACCTCTGTAGTTGGATCAATTTTTCTTCTTAACTCCTGGATTCTACATTTTGATGAAATGTTAAGAAGCATGTTATGTGCTAGTTCCTTGTTTTCTTTATTTTTTAATAAAATTTTCATGTGTCATTTTAGACTGGTAGTGATTCGGAGGATGCTGATAGTGAGTATGATGAGGAGGCTGAAGCCACAAGCGTTGAGACTTCCAAACAGATTGACAACAAATACCGCACCAATGTGCTTCCCGACGATGAATCTGAGGATGAGAAGCGTGTTGTTAGATCGGCGAAGGACAAACGTTTTGATGAGATGAGTGCCACTGTTGACAAAATAAAGAATGCAAAGAACATAAATGACTGGGTGAGCATGCAGGACTGCTTTGACAAGATGAACAAGCAGCTTGAGAAGGTGATGCGTGTGACTGAGTCTGAAAAAGTACCGTCTCTGTACATCAAAGCGCTTGTTTTGTTGGAGGACTTTTTGGCTCAGGCTCTTGCAAATAAGGATGCTAAGAAGGATGCTAAGAAGAAGATGAGTAGCAGCAATGCCAAGGCCTTGAACGCTATGAAACAGAAGCTGAAGAAGAACAATAAGCAGTATGAGGATTTGATTAGTAAGTACAGGGAGAATCCGGAGCAGAGCGAGGAGGAAGGGGGGGCAGAAGATGAGGAAAGTGAGAATGAAGAGACAGATTCTGAAATTGAGGATCCGAAAGATATTGCGCTTTCGGTCAGTGGAGATGGTGATGAAGAGGAAGAAGGTGATGGGGACAATGAGGATGGTTGGGAGAAGAAAATGAGTAAGAAGGATAAGCTCATGGACAAGCAGTTCATGAAGGACCCTAGTGAGATCACATGGGATATGATTAACAAGAAATTCAAAGAGGTTGTGGCGGCTCGGGGCAGGAAGGGAACTGGAAGGTTTGAACAGGTTGAGCAGCTTACCTTCTTGACAAAGGTTGCTAAGACCCCGGCACAGAAGCTTGAGATTCTTTTCAGTCTTGTTTCTGCTCAGTTTGATGTGAACCCTGGTCTCAGTGGGCACATGCCTATAAATGTGTGGAAAAAGTGTGTGCAGAATATGCTTGTTATACTTGATATTCTGGTGCAATATCCTAACATTACGGTGGATGACATGATTGAGCCTGATGAGAATGAATCCCAGAAGGGACCGGATTATAACGAGACAATCAGAGTCTGGGGAAACTTGGTGGCCTTTGTGGAAAGGATAGATACTGAGTTCTTCAAGAGCTTGCAGTGCATTGACCCTCACACCCATGAGTACATTGAAAGACTCAGAGATGAACCTATGTTTTTGACTCTTGCTCAAAATGTTCAAAAGTATCTAGAGAAAGCTGGAAGCTTTAAAGCTGCTGCAAAGGTGGCCCTAAGGCGGGTTGAGCTCGTGTATTATAAACCGCAAGAAGTTTATGCTGCCATGAAGATATTGGCAGAGCAGACAGAAGATGGTGAAACTGGTGGTGAAGGCCAGGAGCCTAAAGCAGTTGAGGAAAGTCGAGGTCCACCTGCATTTGTTGTAACTCCTGAGCTCGTTCCGAGGAAACCCACTTTTACTGAGAGTAGTAGGGCCTTGATGGATATTCTAGTTTCCCTCATATACAAGTATGGAGATGACCGGACAAAAGCTCGAGCAATGCTTTGTGACATTTACCACCATGCTCTCCTGGACGAGTTCTCTATCGCCCGTGACTTGATGCTAATGAGTCACCTGCAAGATAGTATCTCGCATATGGACATTTCTACCCAAATACTGTTTAATAGGGCAATGGCACAACTTGGTCTCTGTGCATTTCGGAGCGGACTGATCCCTGAAGGGCATAGCTGCCTTTCTGAGCTATATTCTGGTGGAAGAGTAAAAGAGTTGCTTGCACAAGGTGTCTCCCAAAGTAGATATCATGAGAAAACTCCTGAACAGGTACCAATTCTTTTGTTTTGTTTTTCTATAGAGTTATTCTCTGTGTTTTCCTCGTACTTTCTTTAAGCTCTGAATTCATTAGGCTGATGATATAGATTTATAATCAAAATTCCACAAGCAGGCTCTAAGGGGAAAACCCTTAAACAGATAACTAATTAATCCAGAACTAGCTGGAGGTCATATGTTGTCAAACAGATTTACCAATATTAATGTTCTTATGTCCCATTTGAAGAATTTTTTTAAGCAGATGTGACCTAAATTTTTTTGTAAGATCGATGTGATACTTTCGGTTTGGTCAGACTCGATCCCAAGGAAACTCCTGATGTGTTTTTACCTTAGGAGTGAATTGATTTCATTTTTGAACTACGTGATGGGGAAATGGCTGCATGTTGTTCTTGCAAAGGAGTATATATATTGCATTTCTCTGCTTCTGTGCCTTTTGTGTTTGTCTATAGTCATTGAAACGCAAAACTTTGAATGTTCTTTGAGTTAACTGATTCCACAAGTTGTAAATTTGATTCCCTGCCACAAGATTAGCTTAGTTTCCGGTGTTACAATTATGAAACGATAAGGGTGCTGCTCTTTGTTAAATTGCAATTTAGCATAATCTATAAGATTCTTAAGAAACAAACCAAAGGATTTGACGAAGCAAATTGGTTAAACAAGCCATTCGAGGGAAACAACATATTCTGAAAAGCTGAAACCATAAACAGAGCATTTTGATTGGAGCCTAAGAAATCTTAAATTAGATTTTCTGTGCTGACTTATTTAGTTATAGTAGATAATAGTAATGTTCTATGTCTAATTTGCTATCAACTCTATTTTATAGAACTGAACCCCCCTAATCTTTTTGTTTCTTTGTTTCTGTTTTTATTTTTCAGGAAAGGCTGGAGAGAAGACGACAAATGCCGTACCATATGCACATAAACCCTGAGCTCCTGGAGGCAGTTCATTTGATATGTGCCATGCTGCTAGAAGTGCCTAATACGGCAGCTAACATCCACAATACAAAGCGCAGAGTGATTAGCAAGACGTTCAGGCGGTTTCTTGAAATGAATGAGAAGCAAACATTCACAGGACCCCCTGAAAATGTCAGGGATCATGTAATGGCAGCTACCAGAGCCCTCAGCAAAGGTGACTTCGGAAAGGCCTTTAAGGTCATCAGTTCCCTTCATGTCTGGAAGCTCCTCAGGAAGAACGAGAGTGTTCTTGAGATGCTCAAGGCTAAGATCAAGGAGGAGGCTCTGAGAACTTACCTCTTGACCTACTCCCCCGCATACAAGACTTTAAGTTTGGCACAGCTCACCCAGATGTTCGAGCTCTCAGAGGCGCAGGCTCATTGCATTGTGAGCAAGATGATGATCAACGATGAGCTGCGCGCTAGTTGGGATCAGCCGACACACTGCATTGTTTTCCATGATGTTGAGCATACTAGGCTGCAGGATCTAGCTTTCCAATTGACTGAGAAATTGTCAATCATTGCAGAAAGTAACGAAAGGGCAACCGAATTGAGGATAGGCGGCGGTGCTATAGAGCCTTTGAGGCGTAGGGACAGCCAGGACTATGGGGCTGGAACAACTGCAGCGAGTGGCAGGTGGCAAGATAACTTGTCATACACGCAAGGAAGGCAAGGTGGGGCCTCCGGGCGCACAGGATATAGATCAATGGCATATGGTCAAGCTGCAGGCGGGTATTCAAGGGATCGAACAGGCACAGGCCAGTACCGGGGAACAGGTCACAACGCGCGGTATCAAGATGCTGCGTATGGAGGGTCAGGGAGGGCTGGATATCAAGCTGGTTCATCTGCAAGGGGGTCTCAGATGGATACTTCAACCCGTTTGGTCAGTCTAAACAGGGGAATTCGTGCTTAAGGAAACATAGCATAAAAGCAAGGCTGAAATTTTTTCCCCCTTGGAAACTATTGTTCTTTATCGTTTGAGGTTATTTCTAGAGGCTTAAGTTGGAGTTTTTTGTGTTTTCTTTTGCTTATTAATAATAAGTTGCCTCTTTAGTTTTGTGCCTGACCAGATTTTTATTTGATTTTTGTTTTGCCATCAGAAAGACAATATTTTTTTTCCCTCTTTCTTTTACACCAGAAAACTACCAGCCCTTCCACCAAATGTAACAACATCCCCATTGTATCTAGTGCAGCAGCTTGAACTAAGCAGAAGAGGCATAGCTTATTTTATGAGCTTTGCTTTTAGTAAGTTTTCACAAAGTCTAAATGGTTTCCAAGGGTCACTAGCTGATCCACAATTCTGAAATTCCCAAAGTAGTTATTATCCCACCCATACATCCCCACATTTCTTCTTCGTACGGCATCACACACACACAATACTTCATCAAGTGTGCACGTGTTATAATTCGACACACACGATATTAGATACACACAATAATTTAACTATCTAGTTTATTAACGGTTGCAAATTAAACCATATTCGATAATTTTAGACCTAGTTGCAACTTGCAATAATTAATAAACTACAAGGTGTAATTAAAAAAACTTTCGTGGAAAACACATCAATTTTTTTTTTAAATTTTTTTATCTGAAAACCCAAATCAACAATATAATTTAGGAAGAAGTATAATGAATAAAATAAATATTAAAAAGCAAACCCCTCTCTCCTTTTATATTTTTCTTCTCATGTTATCAGTCCTTGAAGAAGGCACGCGAATCTCCCTCTCCGCAACATGAGAAGAAATCACCTCTTGAGCCTCTGAACGAAAGGTGAGGTTTTAGCATCTTCCTCAGTGAGGCCAAGAGAGAACTTGGCGATGAGGGTTCCGGTTATGGCGAAGATGCTGCGTATGGAGGGTCAGGGAGGGCTGGATATCAAGCTGGTTCATCTGCAAGGGGGTCTCAGATGGATACTTCAACCCGTTTGGTCAGTCTAAACAGGGGAATTCGTGCTTAAGGAAACATAGCATAAAAGCAAGGCTGAAATTTTTTCCCCCTTGGAAACTATTGTTCTTTATCGTTTGAGGTTATTTCTAGAGGCTTAAGTTGGAGTTTTTTGTGTTTTCTTTTGCTTATTAATAATAAGTTGCCTCTTTAGTTTTGTGCCTGACCAGATTTTTATTTGATTTTTGTTTTGCCATCAGAAAGACAATATTTTTTTTCCCTCTTTCTTTTACACCAGAAAACTACCAGCCCTTCCACCAAATGTAACAACATCCCCATTGTATCTAGTGCAGCAGCTTGAACTAAGCAGAAGAGGCATAGCTTATTTTATGAGCTTTGCTTTTAGTAAGTTTTCACAAAGTCTAAATGGTTTCCAAGGGTCACTAGCTGATCCACAATTCTGAAATTCCCAAAGTAGTTATTATCCCACCCATACATCCCCACATTTCTTCTTCGTACGGCATCACACACACACAATACTTCATCAAGTGTGCACGTGTTATAATTCGACACACACGATATTAGATACACACAATAATTTAACTATCTAGTTTATTAACGGTTGCAAATTAAACCATATTCGATAATTTTAGACCTAGTTGCAACTTGCAATAATTAATAAACTACAAGGTGTAATTAAAAAAACTTTCGTGGAAAACACATCAATTTTTTTTAAAATTTTTTTTATCTGAAAACCCAGATCAACAATATAATTTAGGAAGAAGTATAATGAATAAAATAAATATTAAAAAGCAAACCCCTCCCTCCTTTTATATTTTTCTTCTCATGTTATCAGTCCTTGAAGAAGGCACGCGAATCTCCCTCTCCGCAACATGAGCAGAAATCACCTCTTGAAACTCTGAACGAAAGGTGAGGTTTTAGCATCTTCCTCAGTGAGGCCAAGAGAGAACTTGGCGATGAGGGTTCCGGTTATGGCGAATCCAACCAGGAACGCCCAGTTCCGGTTCCATTCTCGCTCGAAGAAAATCGACCACGGATTGAACTTACCTCATTTCTGATTTTCTCTTTCCTTCTCCGATTGCTCTCTCTCTCTCTCTCTCTTCTATAGCTTTATATTTGTTTTCTGAGTTAAAGGTTTAATTTTCGAGTGACATAATTATCTTTTTTCTTTTTCAGTAAATCAATTGCTTCTGTGCATCAAATCCCAATTTCAGTTCAGCTGCCGGAGTAGGTTTTTTGAGTTCAGGCAAGTTTGCTTTGTGTATAATTTTACATTTTTATTGTTATGAATTTCTGATTTTAGTTTGGGAATAGATTTATTTTATTTTATTACTATTTATTGTTTCTTATGACAAGGTCTTATGCTAATGTAAAAAATTTATAACAATACGTTGCAAATTTCACATTCTATCAGCAGCTAATACATATGGAGGTGTGGATTTAATTTATGGGATGGTTTCGGGTTCCCTGTAATCTTTAGAGAATGTTTTGTTTATGGCATTTTTAAATGGGCTTGATTTTTGGTTTGGTAGAATGCATTTGATTGTGGTTGGGTGATAGAGTGGTGGAGATGCAGATGGAGGTGCGGGTACTTTGTCTCTGTTAAAAGGAAATTGCAGGTTTATGGTTTGGTTTAAACAATTGTGACTGTGTGTTCGCTTTAGGTGTCAGTGTCGTGATGCAAAGGAGACACTGTTTCTAGGTTTAAATTCTGTGTTTCTATGTACATAATTGGGTGATTTCTTAATATTTCTATTAGGTTATTTTAGTTTGTTTTCTGTTTGATTTGGAGAGCTGCGCTTGGCATGATTGTTTTCTTTAAACTTGGTTGATTTAGGTTTGGCCAGAAGGTGCTGGCAATGGCTACAGCGACATATCCACCACCACCACCGTATTATAAGCTCTACAAAGATTACTTGCAAGATCCCAAATCAGCTCCGGAGCCACCCCCTCCAATTGAAGGGACATACGTTTGCTATGGTGGCAATTACACTGTGAGCTTTTCTCATTCTTTGCATTCTTCCTGTCAAAATTTATATAAACTGTGTATTTTGATTTCTGAAAGTTGCTTTTGTCACTCGTGACTGGATGCTAGAAGTTTTGGTGAAAAGTAAAGTTTGTTGAATTTACTGTTTGAAGAATGTCATCTCTCCTTTATAGCAGTTGCTTTAGCCAGGAATGTCAAATATGTACCTTTAAAGTTGTTGGCTTTGAATGTTGAGTTTGGATTATCCTCTACAAAATATGTGTAATTCTATAATTTACCGTGTTGATGTTATCAATGTATGATTTCTTTGTTTTCCATCTCTTCTTAATTAATTTTATCTTTTTTATATAGACTGATGACATTCTTCCGAGCTTGGAGCTTGGAAGATCAGGGAGTGCGTCAACTGTATCCAAAAGGCCCAAACATTGGTATGTCTCCCTCCATTCTAGTTTTAATTATTTGTATTATCATGTGAAATTACTGCTTTTGAAATTTAGGAATTAATGTGAACATTTTCTTGCTTCAAGCATTGTTGCAATCATCATTTATTGCAGTTTCTTCTTAGCATTGGTTGAATGATCTTATTATTATTTATCATTTTTATAAACTAGTTAACTATAATTTTCTTTGGAAAGTTGTTAGCAAAAGAGAGGTTTTCTCTGCTAAGTTAGAACACAGTTACTAGACTGAGAAATTTTCTCTTGGTTACAGTTATCTACAACTTTCTTGGTTACAGTTACTCCACATTTCTGATTGATTGGCATAGTTTTCTAGGCTATGGCATATATCCAATCTCAACTAGAAAATGTTGTCATGCATGATAGATCATACGTTACAACTAAAATATGATCCCTTAATGAGCCTTCTTTAGTGCAATACAAATGTCCTCTCTAGAAAGGAGAAGAATGTTAGGGGGTATGTATCATCTGGTTTGCAGAGTATGATTTGATTCATAATAATTAACAAGAAACAAATAAGAACTGCATGCGCGCATGCGTGTATGTCTGTGTTTATTCTAGTGTTTTCTTTTTTTATATTTGTATTTTTTGTGCATATGCATGCGTTTGTTTTTTGCCTCTAAAATGTTTTATGCTTCTCTGACAAAAATTGTGATCCTTCTTAGATTTTAAGAAGGAACTGAGGTCACTTAACAGAGAATTGCAGCTGCACATTTTGGAGCTGGCTGATATTCTTGTAGAGAGACCATCACAGTACGCGAGGAGAGTGGAAGATATATCTCTTATCTTCAAGAACTTGCATCATCTTCTCAACTCATTGCGTCCCCATCAAGTAAGATAGTTTTGGGTCTTAGAATGCGCTGTATTGGTTTGTATTTGAGGTTCTTTATTTTGTAATGTATTTTATCATACAGGCTAGGGCAACGCTAATTCACATTCTAGAACTTCAGATACAACGTCGTAAACAAGCTGTGGAGGATATAAAGAGGTATGCTTTCAACAATTACTGAAAAGATTTGTGGTCTGAGGCTGAAATGTTTTGCTTTTTTTTTTCCAAAACAGTTGAAAGAAAATTTCTCTGCCCTTTGATCATTTAAATGAATAGCTTATATAGCATTTTATTTAGAGTAAAATTGCTTGAGTCTGCTAGGCTATTCTTTTGGTGCATTGTAGAAGTTGTTATAGAAAAACTCCCCTGTTCTTGTATGTGAGGCATCGAAATGTTGATATTTAGTTTCTTGCAACTTTGAATTATGAGGTTAAAAGCAAAAAGTGGTGTGTGCGTGGTCAATGTAAGAGTTCGAAGATGCATATAAATTCCTTAAATATACTGGTACTGTGACTGTGTAATCAAACTGCCATGTGGATTGGATGTTACGTAATTTCTTGTGACTATTTGCTTCACTTTCTGGTTTAGGAGGAGAGAAGAAGCACAGAGACTTCTCAAGGAGTCTATTGGAACGTTGGAGGACACCGGCGCATCTTTTGTGCTAAAATAAGGGAGTGTGCTCATGTTCGTTCTGCCGCCGATTGAAGCCTCGTGGACAGTTGCATCTTAATACCTTCATCATGCTTTATGTATTAGAAAAATTATAGGTTCAATTGTCATTGTACTCAGAGTAAAAGCAATTTGATAGCGTGCATGATAGTGTTCTCTCTTGCTCTGCTGCTCTGAAATTCTTATTTACCGATTGGCAAAGAAGAAAA